AAGGTTTACACCAACAGATTGCATAATCATGGGGAATAGAAAACAAATCTGTGGTAAAGACTCAATTCCTTATTGATTATTTTCAATTGCTGTTTTTTTATGACGGTGACTTGCTTGTTTGTTTCTTGCTATGGAAAAATGGAAAAGATTGTTAGATAAAGAATATAGCTGTGTCCGGGACATAAGTGGTCACTTGAAATTACGTCAACTGTTACTTTAAGAAGAGCTTTTTTAGCATAAAAAAGAAAATGGTGAACCAATTAAGAGTGAGTTTTTAAACTGTCAGCGTAATTTCACGGGACCCTCCATGCCCGATTCACAAAGTTACCCTGCAGACAAGTTTCAAATAGATATTTATAATTTTGAAAATTAATTATTTTCCATTGTGGTTTCTTTACAAATTTCACTTAAGCGCATGTCTAAAGCAGAAAAACATGTAGGAAATATCAGAATTAAAAACTTTAAACCTAGAGAAACGGGAATATCTTTCAAATTATTTCAAGGGTACCATTGTGAATTAGGAATTTCCATCTTAGTACACCTGGTAACTTGGCATCGTTGGTAACATCTATCTATCTATCTATCTATATCATAGTCCAGTTAGAGATAAATCCTGAAATGAGTAAATGGAAATATGTACTACAAGATCACCCACAAAGGATGACAATCTAAAGACGACCCAAAACTCTTAAAATATGGCACTTCCAATGCTAAGTAAGGTGTCTGCCTTAAATGTAGTATTTAAATGGCTTATTTAATGATTTGGCAAAACAGTTGCATTCCTACAGCCTAGGATAACAGATCTCTGGGAGAAGGCTCTCTGCACTATGTGCAGATAGAGGCTGAGAAAGGTGTCCGCACATATGGAGAGAGGGAAGGCTAAGCGGCCCTGAAGCCCGTGTTCAATTAGCTAGCCTCCTTCTTAATTAAAGTAGCCTCGGCCAGAGTACTAAGTCAAGAAATAGGAATAACATAGAGCTGATATGTATAATACTAATCCGGTTTTATGTCCACTCCAATTAGAAATCGGAGCCCTTTCCCTGCTCCCTGAGGAGAGCTGTAAAAAGGGGACATTCTGCATGCAGCGATGCACACTAAATTCGATACTTCCTAGGAATTCTGCTGGACTGAGAAACAGTATAACATGTGGACAAATGTAGTGATTTTAACGAAACATTCCTAATACGCCACTCCTACAAACCCTTATCCTCATCTCTACTCTCCTCTTCCTACCATCTAACCTTCTCACACGCAGAAACATGAGACTCGAGGACATTTCTCTGTTGGATCCTCAACAAAATTGCCTCTGAGAAATAGATAATAGATAATAAAATAGATAGTGCGTACTGCGTACAACTTTCTTTTTTTCTTTATTATTATTTATAAAATCTTTCCTAATCAGTATTTTTCATAAAAAATTGTTTATAAAACAGATAGTACAACTTTTTTTCCTTTAATATTATTTAAACAAAATTTCTCTGTTAAATAGATGTACTATCTATTTAAGAAAGAAATTACTTCTTTTTTTTAATTATCTAAAAAAATGTTGCTTATAAAATAGAAAGGGCAACTTACAATTCATAATTTAATGTTCATGGTTAATTCTGTTTCTTCCAGGCAAAACTGGGTTCCCGAGCTGCTTGTAATTACATTATGTGCAACATTTTCGAAAAAATTAAGTTTCTAATTATGTATGAAATCAGGGAGGGGGGGGTGGATGGACACTTATTAAGATTGTTGAAGGGAGTATGTCGATGTACATAAGTGACACAAAGTGAGAGCTATCTATTCCTAAACCAGGGATCTGATAAATTGCCACAAACTCTATTTTTTATTTCTACGGTAGTAGGTGATCACGGGCAGCCGTGGTACATTTGAATTTCCGAGCCGGGTCAATCTTTCCGGTCCCAGTTTGTTCTGTACCGCACGGACATAAAGCATTTTGCGTGTGATTACACCAATATAATAAAGACAACTTTTGATTTTAATTTTGATTCAAATCCAGCTTTTAAACAGAATGAATACACGAAAAAATGGAAAAAAGAGCAACTGTCAATTTAAAAGCTTCTCTTGAATTGCTTGTTATTTAAAACTTAAATATAAAAGTCGTCTTTATTTCAACTTTATAATCGCCCACCACCTTATATTAATGCAGCTTTGTTATAATTCATATTTTGAAACATCCAAAGTCTACAACACCAGGTTGCAAAGATATAATAATTAGACAATTGTAGTTTGATGTGAGTTATCATTTCTTTGTGTCCAATTGATTTATTTTTTAACTTGGAAGTTTAGATCAATTTTTTCATCAAAAGTCACAATATGATTTTTGTGATTTTTCAATATGCATATTAAAAAAGGTTATTTTAGAAAAGGTTAGATTGGTTACAAAGTAAGTTTAGATGGTTTTTCAATCAGAATCCCCTCTATCTTGGACAAGGTAGGAGTAAAACAGGAGAAATAAAACAAAAAATATAATCCTAATTTAATGCTTCTTTTACCTTTTTCAGGGTTTTTTTTTTACTTGCAAACTCTCTCACTTACTTTAAAAATCGTATCATATATAAATATCATATATGCGCACTCATATAATCTTTCACTCACGTTCAAACTCAGCCAATCATTTTATCACTCACTTACTCACTCCGTCACTTAAGCTCTTTCTCAAGTTCAAATTCATTCAATCGTTTGGTCAATCACTTACTATCTCAATCATTTGCTAAATCCTTCACTTTCTCTTTCACTCACGTTCAAAATCAACCAATCAATGGGTTACTCACAAACTCACGATAATATTCTTTCACTCATGTTCAAACTCATTCACTCTCTCTGTCACTTACCGAATCTTTCACTTACTCATTCACTCTCTATTTCACTGACTCGCTTACTTAACTATCACGTAATCTATTTGATTTATACAGACTGACATACTCACTCTTTCATTAAATTCTATTTATCCTTCAGTTTTTTTTCCTTCAGTCATTCGTTGTCATTCAGTTGTTCAAAATCCTTCATTCAACAAATTTTTCAAATAGCTAGGTATTTGAGAAATTTCATATGATTGAAAAATAAACTACTCTCAGATTCTCTGAAGAATTTTGGGGAATTCCCTAGATTCCCAGGTATTTGGGAATTTCCCCAGATTACCAGGCATTTGAGGAATTCCCGAAATTTATCAAATTCCTGTAGGATTCCCCAAAATGTCTGGGTATTTGGGAAATTATTCCCCAAATTTCGAATTTTGACCATTTTCTAAATTGCTGTCACTTATACTTCAAGCATTATTTTAGGCAATCATGAGGATTTTAATGATAATTCCAATATTATTATTATTCCCTGTGCCACCTGTGGCTGGGGAAACATTCAGGGGATTTCACTTCTTGGATAACAAGGTAAGTCAAAGGATATCTGAGGGAAAAAATTTGTGTGTTGGATTTCCGGATTAGTCTAATATTCCATTATGACTAAAGGTTTTCAAAAATATACGAAATGTTTTTTAAATTTGTCTGACATTTTTTTGACAATTTTGAAAAACTATTAAAGTAAGAGGTCTAATTTTTTCAATAAGCTGGTCTCGAAAAATTGGACTATAAACATGCAGACCCTATACCTTTACTTTAAGGCTTCTCAGGCTCTTAATAGATTCAGGGCTAAAGTTTGTCCCATGGATTTCTAGGCTTTGGTGGATGTCTAACACACAAATCCCCAGCTCAGAGTGGTTTTCTAATTATAATTGTTATTTCCATGACATTTTCTTACGGAAATAATTTTCCTAAGTATACATTTAAAAAAAAAAAGAACGTTTCCCATTATTCATTTTTAGCTTGATATCCCCAATTGTCAATTTATGCTGCACCTGTAAGCTGGGATTAGATAAATTTCAGAGAAAAACTGAATCAGACCATTCTGTAATCATTTCAAAATTTTTGATTAAAAACCATTTAGGGGAAATGCCCAATTTATTCCCAATGTAGTTCTTTCAGAGTGTTACATTAATTATGTTGCCAGTAATTAGTAATTGACCTTCAGTGTTTTTGCCCATAGTTTCTTTCAGGATCAAAATTTGGCGGAGTGACAAATATAGTTTCTTTCAGGATTAAAATTTGGCAGAGTGGCAAATATAGTTTCTTTCAGGATTAAATTTGGCAGAGGGGCAAATATAGTTTCTTTCAGGATTAAAATTTGTCAGAGTGGCAAATATAGTTTCTTTCAGGATTAAATTTGGCAGAGTGGCAAATATAGTTTCTTTCAGAATTAAAATTTGGCAGAGTGTCAAATATAGTTTCTTTCAGGATTGAAATTTGCCAACTGTTTTTTAAAATTATTTATCCTAAACACCTGCTTTACATACACTATGTCAAATTTGACCCAGACTAAAGATATATTCAATAAACGACGAAAAAAAATCGTTTTTGTATCTTGAAATTAAAAATATGAAATAAAATATTATTTCTGGCAAATATTTTCACATTTTGTGCTTTTTTACACTTTTTTGTTGCAGATTGAAGATATATTTGGTCCAGAGAATGGGTATGCTACCAAAACTCTTGAAATACCAGTTCCAGACCAGGTTAAAGAGACTGTAGTGTAATTGTAAGTGAACCTCAATGCAAAGTTCACTATATACGGTACCCTTGAAACCTGAATCCTATCAATAATGTGGAATATGAGGGATTTCTTTACCTTGAATAGTTTTAATTCTGACGATTTTTTCCATTTTTCCTCTAGCAAATAATGGGCAAGTCACTTTTCTTAACCCTATCTGAGTTTTCCTAAATACCCAATACCCAAAGCCCTCCTTTAGGTCTAAACCCGGGCTTTTATACTAACTACCTGAGTCCTATGTTTTGACCCACTTTCATTCATCAGATTTTGATAATTTTTAGCTTTAAAGAACCGGATTGGACAAGTTTTGCAAAGAAATTTTTGCAAATTATTCGCATACAACCCTTCAAAAGAACATTGCACATTTGTTTGTTTTTCTTAGTTACACATCAGGTTATTTAAAATTTTGCACACATTATTGCGTATTAAAAATGGTATGGTCAAAGGTTTTTTAAAAATGTTAATTTTATCATCTTTTGGATTTTTTTGCAATTTTTTTGCAGATTCTAAAAGNATTTACGCCAATACTAATTTCTAATTTCACTTTGTATGTTTTAGATGAGCTTCTGTTTGTGGACCTTTGCTGATTTTAATAGATTCAATGATCAGATTCCGATCATTGAGTTCTATAGGCTGGGAGAAACTATCCCTCCCTTCATTGCCCTCATGTGTAAGTTGAACAAATTTTATAGCTTTATGTTTAAATATAGCGTGGGAACCTAGCTTTGCCTGGAAACTAATATATTTCTAAAAAACCACCAACTTAACTTAGAACCAACCAGAAAATATTCCCGGGGTTCGACTAAGCTCCCCAATCAAATTTGGGGCAAATCGGTTCAGGGGTTGCAAAGTTATGATCGGACATCCAAACACACACCCTTATATGTGAACATTAATTTTCTGCAGAACTTTTATTGTTGACACTATTACATTGAGACTTTTATTGCTTGCTTAGATCGAGATAATGGAAGAATCAACAGTGACGGAGTTGCTACTTGGTCTATAAGGGTCAGGGGTTTATTAATTTTCATCATTAGAGTCAAGAACACTTATGAACATTGATAGCACTTTTATAGTTAAGAACATCGATGAAAACTTTTAGAGTTTATAATATTGCTGAACACTTTTAGAGTTTATATCATTGATGAAAACTTTTAGAGTTTATATCATTGATGAAAACTTTTAGAGTTTATATCATTGATGAACACTTTTATAGTTTATAACATTGATGAACACTTTTAGAGTTTATAACATTGATGAACACTTTTAAGGATGGGGAGAGGAATGCTCAAATATTTTAATGGTTTTTGCTCATATTACATATATTTGGTGAAATTTGATATTTTTTTCCAAAAACAGAGGGTCTGAGGAGGTCGGCCCGGCGTCTAAGACTAGGTTTCAGACTCTTAGATTCTACCCGGGTTCTATTCCATTGTTTTCTGATTATCACTGTAGTACAGTATTTAAAAACACTGATTAAGTGAAATGGTTTGTGTACACTGAACAGTGCACACTGCCTAATTACTGCAGTCTCATGGAAATGGGACTATTCAAAATCACCACTTAAGCCTTAAAGTTGTCTCCTTATCTGTACAAGAATAGATGTAAAGCTAAAATGCAAAACGCTCTTGTATGTGAACATTAGTTTTTTGCAGAACTTTAATTGTTGACACTATTACACTAAGACATTTATTGCTTGCTTAGATCGAGATGATGGGAACTCTGGAAGAATCAACAGTGATGGACTTGCTACTTGGCCTATCAGGGTCAGGGGTTTATTAATTTTGATCATTAGAGTCAAGAACACTGATGAACATTGATAGCACTTTTAGAGTTTAGAACATTGATGAACACTTTTAGAGTTTAGAACATTAATGAACACTTTTAAAGTTCATATCATTGATGAACACTTTTAGAGTTTAGAACATTGCTGAATACTTTTAGAGTTTAGAACATTGCTGAAAACTTTTAGAGTTTAGAACATTAATGAACACTTTTAAAGTTTAGAACATTGCTGAAAACTTTTACAGTTTAGAACATTAATGAACACTTTTAAAGTTTATAACATTGATGAATACTTATAAAGTTTAGAGCACTGATGAACACTTTTTATTGTTTTAACATATATAAATACTTTTAGAGTTTATATTATTGATGAATACTTCTGAAACTATAGTGGTCTAGATGCAAGAGAACAAATTCATGATATTTTTTTTTATAGGAAAACAGTTATTAATTTAAATCTTCAAATCAATTCATTTAAGGTTCTCACAACATCACATTTAAATATTGCTAAGTTGAATCCAGACCCAGTTTCTTAGAATTTATGATTGATTGATACAATATTAATTAAAAAGGTGATTTATCCTTTATTTACCTCGTCAAAATCAATGAGAAAAATATATGAGCTACATCTTAAAATTAGTTAAAATTAGGGTTTCCAACGCAAGTGGATTTTACTTGCGCGCAATTGCGGGCCCTGTAATTTCCAAGCAATTTCGCGTCATTCCATACTATTCGGCCCAATACAAGAAAAGTTGCTCGAAATTCCACACAGTGGCGTGCAATTCCGCGCAACGGAATTCAGATTGGAAACCCCAGTTAAAATTAAGTCAGAAATGGTCTTGGGCCGCATTTAAGCTGAAACTTTGAATTCTAACTTTCTCAATCTTATTTCATTAAAAATAAACCTTTTAATTTGAGAATTTCACATCATTTGAAAGAAAGTGGAATCATCTCTGTGCTTCTGTGGATATAGTTGAAAATACGATTGAATTATTTCTCAACGGAAAATCGGATTTTCAAAAAAGCACAAGAAGCAGGTTTAATTCATCATATTAATTGTTGTTTATTAAATTACGTAAGTTAACATGAATTGATAATTTTTATCATAATTGAAGTATACAGCATATAACTTTCACAATTTTAGCAATAAAAATAACTGTATGAAGTATTTTACCAATTTCTTGAATAATTTCTTTAAAGATTCTACATTAACTTCTTATTTATTTGAAGATTAAAAGGACTAGTCTTTGAAATTTAGAGTTAATTGTTAGATTTACAATGGTACCCTTGATACCTTTGAAACCACCATTGAGTGCGCGTGAGGAGTACATGTATATTGTTTGTATATCTATTCAATAAAAAAGCTTTTCGCGTATGTGTATATATTTATTTATAAGCTAAAGCTGGCCAAATGGCTGATCCAATTGGCTGACATTTTTTGAGCGAACCCATATGTACTATAGGGGTAATATAGGCTAAATGTTTTTTTTCAAATTTGAGTTTTTATATTTCAAGTGCTTCTAAAATTACAAGGGCAGCGCCGGGCACTTCAGCTAGTATACTATGTAGTTTGTTATAAAAATAATTTCAAAACGTGGAGAAGAAATGTGCATTGCGCAAGTCACTTATTAAAGGGAGTGTTCGCGAAAAATGAAAGGGGGTAAAGGCTTAATGCTATAAAAAATCACTTTTGATCGCTACTAATCTTACTTCTATTTGTTGCGTCTATAAGGAGAAATTTGTTAAAAACGACTAATACCGAAGAACGCAGTATTCATACAAATTCAGAAAGATGCAACATACGACTTAGACCGTAAACAAATCTATTTAATTTCAAACAAATCATTGAGATATTACAACCTATAGATAATGGAGTGAAAGGAGAAAAGTATAATGGAGTGAAAGGGAAAAGGTATAACGGAGATTGTTGGTAGAAAGAAGACATTTCTGGACAGAAAAAATCCACAAAAACCCCTCTAACAGTCAACATAATTGAAAGTTTCTCAATCCAAATTCACGAGGCTTTCTTTGTTGATGAAGTTTGACGAGTTTGACACCTGCTGGTTCTGCATACAAAGTTGTAAAACAAGATTTGAAAAATGACAAAGATTTGGACAACATTTGCTCCAGAGAGATTCTAGGGAAAGATTTTTTTAAGCTCACCCAACCTCCAGAACATGCTTAAATGGATAACGTTTGAGTCTACAGGTAAAAAATTTAGACTGTGACAAGCAACGTTTAAGGGCTCCAGGAGAAAACTAATTGCGTCCAACATATTATCCGATCGACATTAGCTGGTTTGAATATTGAATCGGTATAAATATAGTGAACTTTAAAAAATTAAAGGGTAGAGATGTCTAATAGTACCTTTAAATTTTTTTTGCACCTCGTATATCATACCCTCTTAGTTCTGTGGATGTATCAGTATAATGAAATTCTTGATTAAGAGAATGTTTTTTAGAAATAAATTTAGCACGTTTACAGCTAACATATTTTGTTATAGGACCATTAGACTGCAGTGTGTTGCCAAGATGTTTAATTTCCGTTACATAGGGTAAGGGTAAATTATTTAAAAGTATCGGGCAAATATAATCAGTACTCATGACAGGGTTACTGAAAACTATACATTTTGTTTTTGATTCGGAAACATCTACATTTGTACTTAACTTTAACTGATGAAGACTAGCTAATTTTGCACTGCAAAACTTCATCAGTAAGTTTTTAACTGTATAGTCCAGATCGACTTGGAGATATAATAATATAATGTTATCCGCATAAACCCAGATTCCTAGGTATAGGCAATTTAGTTGACAACCAAATTTCTAAGTTAAACAATGCGAGATCATTTATATAAACACAAAACAATATAGGCGAGGATACTGCACCTCATGGCGTACACCATTTTTCCATTCAAAGGTTGCGAAATAATATTTCCCCATCTCATATTACACATTTGATTTAAGCCTCTTAATATCAAAGGTGATATTTTTCTTTTCAAAAGTTCAGGAAATAGTTTATCCCAAGAAACCATGTCAAATGCTTTACTTAGGTCCATAGAAAAGGCAAATATAGGCCTGTCTAGTATAAGGATCTATTACAGTGTTCATCGCCCAAGTACATATAGATGTGCTAGATTTAGCATGAAACCCAAACTGTAGCGACTGTAGCTCATCTGTTGCAAGTTTTCCTCTTCGAGAATAATGATAAGCCAATCAAACCACTTTAATAATAAGCTACCTATAGTAATGGCTCTGTATGATATCACTTCATGCAATATCTTCTAGGATGTCCTTAACAATAGGAATTGTGCCGGTACGAAGAAACCATTTAAATAGTATTGTTACATGAATTTAATGAGAATGAGAATTTAATAGAAAATCTGAACTGAAAGAAAAAGTTGGATCACTCCCTGATTTTAATTGAGCTAGAGCTGAAAACACAGTAGACTAGGATCTACTGGAGAACAATGGATTTCTGAATCCGAGCAAACTCCTCGCCTAAATCACGTTACTGATAAAGTTCACTGTAAATATCGGCAAAATAATTAGAAATATTCTCTGGTCCAGTGAAACCATCAACACTATAGTAGATACAATGTTAGTTTTACCACGGGACTTTTTTACCTTTTTAAAAACATCCATTCCTTTGTGTCCACTGTTATATCATGCTTTACACAATTTGAGGAATCACAATCATAACACTCAATTGGTGGATTTCCAATAATTGTTGCAATACCTCCGGATTTAGGGGCTTTATTCATAACTTTTTATTTTAAAAAATTCTATTGATATTTTTATCCAATTATCCAATTTTTTCCGTTTTAGCTTATTTCAAGATAATATTTTCAAATTTCAGGTTCAGTATGTCCTCAAAACCTATGAAATATACGAATATCTATATTATGCTCTTCGACCATATATATATTTCAGCTACAGCTGCAGCCAAACGGCTGGACCAAATGGGCTGATTTTTTTAGGTAACTCATGGGTGCCAGGGGGTAAACAAAGGCTAAAAAAAAAATCGACATTTTTTCCCTTTAAACAATTTTTTTTTCAAAAATCTAATATTTTTTTTCTTTTAAAAATCGATTAAAACAATTGACACCAGGGAAGGTTTATGGCTGGTAGAAATTGAAAAATTTTGCCCTAAGATAATGTGAATTAGTTTGAAAATGTACAAATTGAAATTAAAAATGGCGACTTTTCTAAAATTGTTAATAAGGAAGTTTCAAAAAGCACTTTAAAGGAATTGAGTTTGTTTTTTTGTAATTCATACATATGTTGCGTATAGCCGGCAAAATGGCTGACATTTTTTGTGGACACTCATGGGTGGCCGGGGGGTGTTTTAGGCTCAAAATATTCGAAATTTTTTTTTCTTAATTTTTAAAATAAAAATTTTAAAAAAAATTCCACGGGCAACGCCGGGTTCTTCTGCTAGTGTATTTATATATTTTAAACTAGGAATTTTATCAGATCAAATAGTCAAAATTTAAAATATTTAAGGTTTACACCAACAGATTGCATAATCATGGGGAATAGAAAACAAATCTGTGGTAAAGACTCAATTCCTTATTGATTATTTTCAATTGCTGTTTTTTTATGACGGTGACTTGCTTGTTTGTTTCTTGCTATGGAAAAATGGAAAAGATTGTTAGATAAAGAATATAGCTGTGTCCGGGACATAAGTGGTCACTTGAAATTACGTCAACTGCTACTTTAAGAAGAGCTTTTTTAGCATAAAAAAGAAAATGGTGAACCAATTAAGAGTGAGTTTTTAAACTGTCAGCGTAATTTCACGGGACCCTCCATGCCCGATTCACAAAGTTACCCTGCAGACAAGTTTCAAATAGATATTTATAATTTTGAAAATTAATTATTTTCCATTGTGGTTTCTTTACAAATTTCACTTAAGCGCATGTCTAAAGCAGAAAAACATGTAGGAAAAAGTGGCGAATTGGATCTAAGATTCGGCTAAAATGAACTGTGCCTTAATTCTCAGTTTTTGTTGACCAAACAAATCTGAAAATAATTTGAAAATTTAGTTTCAGTCATTACAGATGCCATAAAACCCCGATAGATGTCGAAAATTGTGTTAAAAGTGCATTAAATTCAAATCACAGAAAACAAAACTTTATGGTGATTACTAATTGAGGTGGTGGAGATTATCAATTGAGGAGCGCGCTTGCCACAAAACAGATTTGGGTGGCGGTGATTACTATTTGAGGAACTCTGGACTCCCTCCCTCCTAGGGGAGGGGGGTGCAAATTCGTCATTGCACCCCTCTTTCAGAAGAAAGGGGTGTACACCTGCACCCTTGCACCCCCCCCTCTGGTTACGGGCCTGATTTTAGAGGTATTCTTCCAATTTTGAAGTGGTGAATTTGTGCTTCTGCAAAATATTTTTCCCCCTACACTGAATTCTATGATCTTATTTGTGGACCATCTTAAATCAAATTTTGCCAAATTTAGATGAATTACGATTGCCAACATATTTCTTTGGCAGATCACCATAGAAAAATGTTGTTATTTTTGGCATCCTTTTAAGAGAATTTCTCACTATTTTCTCTTTTTAAATATGATGAAAGTCAGTCGACATGCTAATTCTATCCTCTAAAAATAGACAACAAATATCATCCTAAAATAAAGACAAAAAACTAATCGATACATTTTTTCAAAATAGGGATTTTTCAGGGGAGGCACAATTTCGATGCTATCTCATTTGGACTACTGCCGTTTGAACTATTGTTCATTT